TGAATTAAGACAAAAAATCTAAAATTAATTAATTAAAAAATGTTTTGCTTACATGTGAATAACCAATAAGTGATTTTAATATTTTAAATTATGTGCAGTCAAAATATCTTGATTTAATGTTAATATTTTAACTATTAAATAATAAAAAAGATTGTCAACCGTTACTAGAAAGCTCTAATAATTTTAGTTAGTTAACACAAATAGAATCATTTAACAATTCACAAAGTAACAAGTAAAACTAAAAAATATATTGATAAGATTCGTGGATTGTTTCGCGCAGTATAATATGGACATAGGAACCATTGATATTGGAGATATACCAATAACCACATTAACTGATGGCCCAGTAAATTTACCACAATATAGATTGGCATTATGCTAATGGAAACTATGAAAACTGAGACTCATAATATTTCCACAATCTGTAGCAATGTTTTACTCACCTTGCATACAACACTAGTAGAGTAAACGATATAATAGCTTAAAGTCGTTACAGAAAAGTAACAGATTTAAAAGAGGATTAATTAACGCAATTTGAAATTTTGAAGAGTAATCTTTTGGTAGTGTAAGTGACGATAGGAACCAAGAATTACAAAAAATAATACAATCATCAAACATTTCTTTTAACTTATCCAAATTACAAATGCCAAATCTCAAAAACTTAAAAGAATCTACCAATAACTTAGATTATATAGTTACCGAAATAGAGAAAGAAAACGAAAATAATTATACCGTTTCAAACAATGTCATCCATCAGTATGGAATTTATTTATGCGCTTTAATATTAAGCTATATAATTATTCATATTTTGATAGAATAAAACTAATATGGTGTTATGTAAGGGAAACAAATAAATAAATTATAAATAGTCAAAGAATAAGGTGTCGAGACAGAATAGTGTAATAAGAGTAATATTATTAAATAATCATTTATGTACTTTTATATATTAGCATAGGGATAAATTTAATTTTTCAATCTTTCAATAATAACCACAAAAAAAGTGTAAGCAAAAAAACATAGACATACATATTAAAAACAAGGATTAACAACAAGACATATTAAACATAAATCTATTTACTTTAATAAGCAATACTTATTTTTATTTCTTGAGGTAAAGCCCGGCAACTATGGGCATTAGCAGTTTGTTTATTTGTAGGATGGGTTGGGCGGGGGGGGGGGGGGTACAACACCAAGAAACAATACATATTTTTAGTCGACACATAATAAGCAATTTTTATTAATTAAATAACAATAAAAATTATTTTTTATTACTTTCTAATATAAACTATAAAAGTAGGAAGTGTGGTACCTTGGGACTATTTGTATTAAATAGGTATCCCCTAACAGATCTAATTACTAATATGTCATGTTAATGCATATTAACAACATTGTTGGTATAATAAATCTGTATAGGTTGGTTTTTTTTTTTTTAAAACACCAAAAAATGGTGCAAGGTACAATATGCATAGTTCACCATGAAATTTACATTGAAATATGCATAGAAATAGATAAAACAATTTCAAATATATTACTTAAAAAATAATAAATTACCTAAGCAATTCACTGTATAAATAATATATAACCACATATAATTAGGTAGATAATAAAAATATAGTTAAATTCTTTAAGACTTAAGAATCAATGATTTGGTCCACATTACAAAAAAATTTTTTTTTTGTCTTAAATATATTTTTGTAAGAATGTACTGCACCATTAAATTCTAAACAATATTTAAAATAATATGGCACTAACCTTAATAACTTCTATGAAAAATTTAAATGTTCAAAATAAATTTAAAAAAAAACCAACAATTTTTATTTTCATAGAAGACGTTTTATTTTGAATTTATGAGTGGTTTCATTGTTTTAACTGTGAGTATATGGAACTAGTGACTATAATATCAACCACGAATTAATTCGTAATCAATTATTAAGGAAGAAATAGGTACATGAAGGCTAATTGAAGCAAAGCCAACTCTTCCTACACAAAAAAAAATGTATGTAACAGTGATATCGTTCAACCAACATGTTATTATATAATAACCTTGTGTCCAATCTACCTATTTATTATTATGTGTGTAAAATATTTGTGTATGAGTTATTATAATATGTGTTAGTAAATTATATAAAGTCGTATGGTGTCGTGCACACCGGATCGTCGGCCATATTTTATTTGACCGCTGCGTACATCATTCGATTTTCACGAAAAAAGGTCGCATTGCGCCGTTACCGATGTGTCGGGTCGTTGATTATACTTACGTGACGAGAAAATGGCGAGCCGTATACTGATTTTCTCAATGCAAATGTCGTGAAAAAATTCCGATCATAGGTGAAGAGAAGGTCTAGTAGTTGAAAAATAGAAATGGAGTCTGAACTCATAAAACAACTGTATAGACGGATCCAATACCGTCGCTAAATTTTTTGAGACGGTATGTAGAAGCGATGTGTATGTTTTTGTTGTATGTGACGATTGATCGGAAAACATAAAGAAGTTTGAGAGCGCAGTGTTGCCAAAACTTGCCATCAAAATATCGTCAAATACATGAAAAAAAACGGCTTACTCGTTTAATAAATGGCTAAAAATTTTTTTTATTTAAATACATTTAAATAACAAATATTATAAAACTTGGTAATCATCTAAAAAAATATAATTTACATCAATTTATTCTGGAGAATAATCCTAATAATGATAAAGACAGTGGAGACCGGTGACCAGGGGTACCAGACGTCACTCCTTGAAAACCACTAAGTGGCGAGTACCATTAGAAGGGATATGCATTTAAATTACTATCTTTACTAAAAAAAATCAATAATAATTTTAGGCATCAACTATAGGATCTAATTAGTAATTAGATATCTAATATATTATTATATAATTTTGATACATTTTATAGTCGTGCTAGATTGAGTATGATAAGTACATCTATTCTACTCTAGTATGGAGTAAAAACAGATCATTATATTGATAACAAGAGTTCAAATTTTGTAGGCATTCGCTATTTTGTCAATGTGTCTAATGTAAAGTGATTTTCATTATAAATTTGGTATATACTTTGCAAAGTAAAATATTAAATACACAACATTTTACTTTGCTTTTTTGGCTTAACATTTTTTTTTTAATAATTTGTTTACAAATGTGTTCTAAAGTTCTAAATTAACGCATAATTTTATAAATCTGTTCATTTGGATTTGTATTTCCTCTGAAAATGTAAAACTTATATACATTTAATATATTTTTTTTTGATATTGAATTAGTTCTCAGACATGTCGAACTCTGGTTTAATTTTATCACATAGATGTAACAAATTAGTTCGGCGGCGTAAGGGGGGGGGGCAAAGCGGGACATTTGTCCAGGGCCTCGCGCATTCAAGGGCCTCGCGCTCAAAATTTACATAGGAAAATATTTTATATGAAAATCTTGTACTAAAACAAAACAACAATATAATATTATAATATTAAATATTTATGCGTCAACGTCAATCGGTATGGCACGTCGAACGGTATGGAAACCCCAGATGCGTATTAGGAAACCCAGGACGCCACAGAGCGCTTTATGTATACCACGTTCTCATTGGCCCATTTCAAATTTCCCGCTTTTTTTTATCATTTATCAAATAATTTAATTTAATAATATAATATTAATTTAAATATTATATTATATTATTTAATTTAAACAAATTCAAATAACTATTTAGTAGGAATAGATACCTAACTAATATTAAACAATATTATTATGTTATTATAATTTAATAAATTAATGTAGAATGTGATCTCTACACAGTTATTTTTATTTTTTACTTTAGTAGGTACCTATACCTAACTCAGAGTGAACATTTCTTACTGGACTAAGTGTATTGTACTTGTACACACCTTTTGTGTTAGCTAAAAAGATTGTCTAGGTTCTTCCTAACATAGAAACAAAATACCAATCTTACTTAAATGTTTTATTTTTACTAAAACATAAGATTCTTAATTAAAATAGGTAGGTATCTTACTAAAAGTTCATGCTCTAACATTAATATATGTATTGTATTTTTAATAAAGACATAACTATTTTTAGAGGAACGAATTGAACTAGTGTTCAATGATTATTTTAATAATATATGGAATGGTTGCTACTGAAGCTAACTGTTTTAAAATCCAATTAAAGAAATAGTTTTAACTTCACATGAATGGGGCAAAAACAATTTTGGACGTCAATTTTGGTAGTCTAGTTCATCGATGATTGAAAAGCCCTGTTATTATTTTCAATTTTATATTTGTAGGTACACTACATTACTACTTACATCAGCAGTGGTTTATAAATAATATTTTTTTACACATTTATAATTAAACTAATTCAACCTTTTTAAAATGTTATGCAAGTATTATGTAAACAAATATTAAGGTAGGTAAAAAATAATACATACATGTCTACCTACATAGTCAGAGGTAGGTAGGGGTTACACGATCATTGAAAATATATAAATATTAGACAAAAAAAAAAAAAATTTACAAACATTTAAAACTGTGAACATAATATTTTAAAGTATTTTTTTTTACTATGATGACCACCTCGCATGTTAAATTTCTGTCAGTTGGGCTCTGAATGTGATTTAATTGTCCTGAATGTACAACATGACTCCCTAAATAACAAAAATTTACTAACAAAATTCAAAAATTTGACCTACCCGATAATACTTTATAGATGTTACAAGTTCCTATATAGATTATAATGACAATTATTATAAAATATACCATTCAATTTTATTATAATTTGATAAGGTAACAATTTTGAACTCAGATTTACCAATTTTTTTAGCAAACAATTAAACAATTTGTTATTTTATTACATTAAATTTTGTTTATTTTATGATGTAGGGAAGTTTAAGACAAAAAAAAAAATTTACAAACATTTAAAACTGCAAAATTTGACATACTAATAAAAAAAAAACAAACGTAACACCAGAAAAAATGATACATTTTTGTTAAGAGACCCCCCCTCTTTGTGCTAAAATATCCATGAATGAAAGTCATAATCATTCAGTCAATACAAGTGGTTCAATGAAATTTTTATGGATAACACCTGAGGTAATAGTTTATTTTATTAAATTAGTAGGTATGTTTAATACCTATGTGTTTGTACATCAATACATGTAGTTAGTAGGTATAGTAAAGCTGTCAAGATGTACATTAGGTGGTTATACTAATATACTATATATCAATGCATAGAATTATAGCAGTAACCTATTAACTATAGTCTTAGAATTTTAAATTGAGAAATTGTTTTATTTTAAGTACACAATTACATAGGCACATATTGAAAAGGTTAAATCATTATATTTTTTTTAAATATTATTTTTAATAACACATTTTCATCATAATATACATATTAGGTATATTAATAATTCAAAATATATGTTTAATTAAATAATTATGATTATTATTTAAAGGTGGAGCAAGTGTTTAATTTGTATTTTGAGGATGGAATGGGTGCTGCTGAAGCGATACGCTTACATGAAAGCAAAATATTATTGAATGAAAATTGTTGGGAGACTTTAGCAAATGGTTCAAAAAACCCAAATAAAGAAACTGTGGCATATTTACACAAAAAATGGCGAAAAAATAATTTTGGTTGTGTAAATAACCCATTAGAAAAATTAAAAGAAAAGACTCAATCATATGCTGAAAAAGGTAAAATATTTGTTGATGCTATAGGTAAATTGAATTATTTTAAAATATTAGTATTGACTTCAAGTATTAACTAATACTCTGGTGAGATTTGACTATACCATTTAAATTTGATTTTTTTTTTTTAGGTAGGTACTAAATTAGAATGTTTTTTTATTTTTAGGTATTTAAATAATAATACATGAAGAAAAACCATGGGCAGTCTTGGTAGTTACTCCACTCATGAAAAGAGTCCAGCATTTTTCATCCTCCAAAGAATTAATTTTTTGTGATAGCACAAGTAGCTGTGATACCATGGAGACTACTCTTACAACTGTACTTGCAACATACATACATACATAAAACATAACCCATCAATAATATAAATTTAACTATCTGATTAAAATAAATGGAAATACTATACTCATATGCCACTGAATAAAATATAAACGGTGTTAATCTCTAGTACATGGAATCCTATGGAAAATCAATCATAATTTACCTCAACAATTTTGATCCACATAATATATATAATAAAACACTACCTGCGATAAAAATAGAAACAGTAGTAAATTAACAAACTGTTTGAAGTTAATAAATAAATGTGCATGAATTTAAAAAATAAGAAAGTTATCTTGATTCTGTTCCTATTACAATACACTTAACATGTAACCAGATAGTAAAATGTCAAATAATTGGGATATTCATTTTTGAAAAATTGAAATTTTACATTTTATTTTAAGGTTTAGAGCCTGAAACTCTATACTTGTTGTTCAGAATCTATTCCGAAACATTTTTGAAGGAGAAATTTCTTTTCAATATTATTCTTGAATGTAAAAATATTAATAAATTATAATCCACCAATCCATATTCCGTCTTTCATTTTAATTAGTCACTTTGCATAAATTATTTTGGAGCATTTTGAAGTTTTTTCTAAATTTAAATTTTTTCTTATTTTATTTTAAATTTTTCACTTGTTTTTACATTATTTTTATGATAAATATATGATCTAAAATGGTTAATTTTCAGATTATATAAGTAGTCTAAATGATAAAGTTATGTCTGTAAAACTGTTATACAATAATTTAAAATTTTAAAATGTATATTATAATTTATATTGAATTAATTTTAGAATTAATTTTTTTAATATCAAAAATAAAAATAATTTAGTGCACTATTTAGAACTGTTAGGCCACTTTTTAATTTTTTTTAGAACATTAAAATCATCAATAATATTTCTGATAATCAACCCAGAAAACACCAGTAGGGTAGGCAACTTCCTCTACTTACCCCCCCCCCCCTCACGGCACAATCTTATTCATGTCTTCCACAATATGTTCCTAGCTAAATTGATTGAGTAATTTTAACAAACTTTAGATTTGTGTACCTACCTTAGTTGTTAATAAGACTTCATTTTAAAATATTTTGTTTTTCTCTATTTTTCGGTCAATGATATTTTATAAAATATGTTTTGCGTTAATGTTCGTTTAATGATATTCTATAAATTACATTTTGCGTTACGTTTTGTTTATAAATTAATATAATATATTTTGTAAATCGTTATGTTTTGTTTTGTGGTATTTAATTATTTTTGATTATCGCTTTCCGTTATAGTTATGTATTCAAATTTCAATAGTTTTTTTGTCAAATATTAAGTTTTTATAACATTTGCAATCCATGGTACCAGTAATTAATATGTTAAATAATTCCGTGATACAATTAGATACCATTATTATAAGAGTTATGTAGTTATTTTTACATTTTGTGAATTCAAAAATAAACACAACCAACTGATACCTGTTATTTGCTATAATTATAAACATGAAACTATTACAAGTTAACTGTTTACTAAATATTATTCAAGAGACATTCTATTACGATCACTGTACACTGAACCAATGTTGTGATATTATATGTTTTTGACTTTTGTTTAAATTAAAATCATGCCACCTAAAAGCGGTTCTCAAAAACGGAATGAAAAAGTTAAAAACAATTTGCAATTGAAGAAAATGCGAGGTCCTTCTGATAAATTTATTCTACCCAGACAAAATCGTAAGTACCTATATAAAATATATAATAGTAATAGTAATGTTTAAGTATAGCTCTCTTAAATAGTCAATAGAAACTTTTAAATACCTACCTACTAAATGTTATAAGAAATAAAATATGTTTATTGTTATTTCTCTTTACTATTACCTATAAATTATTTATTATTATTGAATTGAAAAGTGAGTTACCTACTTAATAAAATAGATGAATAAACAATCTAAATAACTAGAATAATGAACGAAATATAAAGTTAAAAAAAAAAAAAAAAACATGAATATAACGATAATTAAAGTAATAAATAATATAAATTATAATTATTAAAACAATAAATGGTCAAGAAGAAATTAGTTGTTGCAATAATCTTTTAGCACTACTAAGTACTAAGTCTGTATTTGAATATATTTTATCAATATTCTCTATTATACAAAATATGTGCAAATATCTCATATTAACATTTTTGTTATTATTACTTATTAAATATCTATTAATGATTGCAAATATTATATTCTATCTATAGTTGTCAACGAAAAGAAAAATTGTAAAAAATATGATTTAATATTAATTATTTCTACAAGTTCTTCATCTATACCTTTTATAAAGTTGCCTAGTGAAGAATACAGAACTAATTATAATGTACTAATTGTAAAAAAATAAATTTAAATATTGTATAATAAATTAATGTAACACAAAAAAAAAAATTAGATATTATTAACTAATGCCGACTATAATTTATTGAGTTTTTACTTTATGAAATTACTCTATTCATTTTATATTCCGAAGAAAAATATTATTTGGAGTATTTTTATCTATAAATATCCAATTGTGGACAAGTACCTACTTCATTAGCTATAAGTATTTAAAGTTTAGGTTAGGTGGTGGAGTAGTGGACAACATTTTGACGGGTACCGCTGTACCACTCTAATCAGCTCATCTAAACATTAAATGGTTATAAATTATTAATTAATATATAACAATAATCGGTTATAAGCCAATTATAAAACATACCGTTATAATATAATATAATTGTTGAAACAAAGAAACACGGTGATCAATGATAATAGAATAAATAAATAAAAAAATCTTCTTGAATGTTCTATTTGAAGTCACAAACTTGATATTACGAAATATTGTCACTTTCCTATAGACGGAAAACTTAAAGGCGTGCTGTAATCAAGTTATATACTTTTTTTAAAAAAGGCCTTTAATATATGGTAATAAACAATCATAGTTATATGGATACAAAAGCATTTCTTACCTATTTTATACAGATGAGTATTTATTTTGATGTGAAATTCATGTATTTACTACATATTAATATGTATTTTACATATTTATTATACATCAACATTTATTTTTTACTATTGCGTACTCTTTTAAAATGTTGTTTATGTTGCATAATACGAAAATACTTTGGTTGTTATTTGTTTTGCAATTTATTTATAATTTAAACCTGCCAGAAAATGTATATGTACTAAGAAATGTATGTAATTGAATATAATTGTAATTGAAAAATGATTGTAATTGATATCTTTATGTAATTGGTAACTTTATGAAACTGAACATTTATGGAATTAAAAAATGTATGTAATTTTATATAAAATATGTGAAATATCGATGTTATTGTATAGAAAAAAAGCAGTCAAATTTGGGTGTAAAAGTGTTAAAATAAGCTAGTTTTAAGATATTTTTTGACTGTATAAAAATTATGTCATATAGACATAATGTATCTACTAAGGTCAAACGTTAAAAGTTTATTCTGTAACCAAAAAATATAAATATCAAAATCCATCAGGTTCCAGGTTATTGAAGTTCATAAATTAAGATTTAAATTTATCTTGGTTTGCAATGGAATTCGATTATAAAAGAAATAACGTGAAAGATAATATATTATAATTAGTATTGTAGCATTTTTAGTGGCATATTTAGAAATTGAAAAAATTATTTTGTTAGAAAAAAAATGTTAATTTTAGGTTTCAATAAATTACACAATTCCGGACACTTCCATGTCTTTATATATAAAAATGAAAATGAATATTAATTGTCTGTATGTCTGAGTGTCATTTGGTTGCCAGCTTTTATATTGATCAGCTAGTATATAATAATAATAAATTATGATTCATTAATATTCTATTGTATTGAAACCTATAGATCAACAGATGAATGTCTACTAATTTAAAATAAAATAACAAATAGGTATAGAAAGAATGTTGAAAAGGCCATGAATGGAAAATTTGCATGAACAATTATGGACAAGTAAAATAAATTCCTTAGTATTCTTAATTGCTTACACATTCATATTAGGTAATTATAAAATATAAGATTATTAATATTACCCGTCTAGTCAACTCAATATAAATATATTATAGTATACATAAGCATCAAATACTTCCACATTCTCTTAATTTTATACCAACATTTCTTATAAATACTAAACAGTTTTCACTATCAGCACAAAAGAATATAGAAATTAATCTAATTGTCTACAAACATAAACCATGTCATAATTAACAAAACCCATTGGAATATAATAGCAATGCAAAAAATTTTATAAAATAAATGCAATTACCTTAAATAATAATAGCTTCACTTTGCACCAACAGCTGAATACTAATGCAGTAGTATAATTATTAATAATATATTATTTTTATTATAATCGTGAATATTTAGTATACTTCATATAATTTCACAGTCGAATATTATTCAAATTGTTAATTACATTTATAGAATGGTTTTTAAAAAATGTCAATATTATGAAAGCGGTTGATTCACTTAAATTTTTACATGAAAGTATAAAACGTTACTCTTGCTATTGTACAGCTAACAGCAGACGATATCGATACATTTATGAATCATGTATGGATTTGAAAAAAGGAAAGAAGTACAATACAAAATAAAGACCGGCCATAGGAAATTATGTTTACTTATTTCTTTTTTTATTATTTAAGTATAATAAAATAACCGGATACTCATACTTAAAATTAAATGACAAAGTTAACGTATGTTTGTAATTATTCAAGCTATAAAATAAGCACATTCACAATCATTAATGAAATATAAAATATAGGTATACAATAAAAAATTATTGAAATGCAATGAGATAATTACACTTCCTTCCAATATGAATCTTGGTCGTTCATAATGTATTGAACTAACCTGCTGTTTAATCATCTCAGGCCTCAGGCGTCACACAAATCACATGTTGGTCTTTCCGGTACTTTAACATGTTCATAGACTGCACGTTGAAATGATATCCGTTTGGGTTATAATAGTCATTGCACTAATAATAAAAAAAATAGTCAACTGAACAGATCATTAATACACTAATCTGCATATTATAAGTATTATAAGTTTTTTTTTTTTTGATTTGTTGGTCATTAATTAAATTTCTTTTGCTCCATAAAGAAAATGGAATGGAAAAGAAATGAATGCTAACTAATTTAAAAGAAATTATGAATTATGGTTTGGTGTTTGGATTGAAAAATAAAAGCAGATCAAAACTGAATTTGATTTATCACACTATTAAAATCTATTAATAATATAATGTGTGCAAGAACAAGAATACAGAATTGATACTTAATTCAAATTATATCTTAAGCTACATTTCACATACAAATAAAGACAAAAAAAAAAAATAAAAAATAAATGATGAATATCATGAAGCACGCTCATTATTTGACGACAAGATTTAGTGGCATTTCATCTTGAACAGATTCTTCAATTATAGTTTGAACAGCCGTTGAATTGTGCGACTGTGGTTGTTTTACTTCATAGCAATCTTCTTCTAATTTAATGTCTTCTGTTTTTTTAATTTTGATTTTTTTCTTATTCATGCTTATGTCCATACCTACACGAGAATAAACTATTAAGTATTTTTAACTGTTCTGATGCATAATCAGAAGAATTCACAGTGAGCTATAAGTGGGCATGTGAAATTCAAAACCAATACTTCTTCGTCTTACATTATTAAAAAGTAAAATAAATATTTGTTAATAATTAATAGTAATAATGGAATATTTTTCATAGGCCAGTACACGATTAACAATTTTAAACCCATTTCCATTAAGCATTACAAGTGAGAATAAAATTAATTAAAGATACTACATTCTTAACAGTTTAATTTATCCTGATACTAAATACTTAGTTAAGTAGATAATAACATAATTACAACCACCACCCACTAGCTGATAATATGAAAAAGAAAAAAGCAAACATTTAACCAGAAAATGCTTATAGTCTGAATGAAATTTGAATTATCAAAAAACATGAATTAAGAATCATCAATATGGTCCAATTCAATATAATTCCGAAGAACAGGACTTTTTAAACATACATTTAATGCTCTGATCACATATCTAGTCAAGTTTAAAATCTTATTAGTTACAAAAAAAGATTTAGAATAAGTTAATTTTTATAGTGAAACATATAATTAAAATTATTATCCTGTTTCAATTAATTAAATATTTAAATTATTATTATGCACTATAATTTAATAATAAACAATATGGGTATATCAAAGATCTAAGCATAATATACAACATTTTAAATGTCATACTATTTTAATATAAAGTTGATTTAAATTTTTTTTTTTAATAAACTAAATCTCAATTTTAATATACCCAATATTTTTAATTATTGACAACTAATTTTCTTTAAACATATTCAATATTATAAAAATTAAAATAAAAATTAAACATATTTGATTTTACACAGTCGAATTTTAACATGTCATTATTAATTACAAAAGTATTATATTCATGCTAACAAAAATAATTTGTTTATTATGACATTTTTGTGATAAGTTAGTAATTATGGTGAGTTTTTAAATACCTATAAACATTAACTAATATGAAAAAAAATATAATAAATCTAAGCATATTACAAGGTTTTTTTAATATAATAAAATAATAATTAACAAGAAATTTGACTTAGTGTAATCAACTTTTACCGCATTGGCAATCTTACCTGAAGCAAGCTTAAAATCTTGTATAATTGTCTTGACTACCGCTTGATTTTAGTTTTTAATGTGCTGTATAAATATATTAGTGTACCAAAAAGAAAAAAAACAGTTATTTGGCACTAAGCTATATTTTTACTACACAGTGTGAATAATAAAAGTAACTAGAAGAGGGTGTTAGCTTAAGATAGACATGAGACGTCTGCAATTTTTTTAAAAAACAGAAATATATTAGGTTTTTAAATAAAGAAGGAAATATATTTGATTTTTTTTTTGGTTTATTAATATAGGCGAGAATGCTAACCATTGTCTGATCGTTTTCTACGTTGTCTAGTATATATGGTGTCACGTCTCATGGTGGGTGGTCTAATTTTTCCATATTTTCTATAGTATAATCCACAGGCATTGCATACTGTGCCTTCATTTAGTCGTCTCCATACTGTTGAACATGTAGTTCCACAATTAAAGCACATTCTCTGAACCGATGATTCCCTAGCCTGAATCAAAACATTGATTATAATATGTAGATCAAGAAATAAATATTATATAAAACATTACTCATCATTATACTTACAGTAGGTTTTCTGTGTTTTTTTGGGGAAGTATTTATGTCTTTAACTTCATGTTGTACTTGATGACCATCTGAATACCCCCTAATTGTGGCTTGTGTCTGATATATCTTGCGCTTTTCTTCTGACGATACTAATTTACCACGTACCACAGTAGCGCCCTTGGGTGTGCCAGGAGACTGACCATCATTACTCTTTGCCGATAGTCCTTGAACATGAGTAGCACCAAATAACAGCATACCCATGCGATCTGATGGATCTGTAAGAGCATTTGATTGACCCTGATTGTTGGCCCATTCACCAATTTGCATAGCTTGAGGACGCAATTCAGAAGTTGTACCACCAGGGTTCTATAAAAATGAAATATATTGTGATATAATAAGTACTAGAACTATTGTAAATTTAAGTACTAACTTTCGTTTGAAATATTCTTGTTTGGAAACTGCCTTGTAAATTAGGCCATACATAAGCAGGATTCACTTTAACAGCAGGGGAATTCGCACGGATTTTTTTAGGTGTCCAATTTGTAACATTTACTTCATCTGATGAATTAGTATCATCACCAGCAATTTGTGTTCGGGAATCACTTAATTTCAATGTTCTAGATGGACAACTTTGTTTACGACGGTGTTTGCTCGTACCCGAAGCCTAATGAAAACAATAAAACACAGTCAAAATAATAGATATATTAGAATTTTATAATGTTGGAATGCAATTAACTAAAGAAAATTGCTTTTGGCCCATTTTATGGGTACCATTAACGGTTGTATCATTTACCATTGGGAATTGTACATTAGCAATAACTTTTGGAAACTGGTCCAAATCCTAACCGATTATTGCGCTCACGGCAGACGCACGAGAAGCGTTAACGAAAGACGCCGATCGGAGTACGCACGAACGGACGGAAGGATAGATAAATAAATGTAGATAGATGACGGAACTTATTTTAGAGAAAAAGGTGAGAGAAATAATAATAATAACAAGAAGTGGTGGCGGCGATGATAAAACTAGGCAACTCCATTATTTCCACCGCCGATCATATTATCACATTTTCGTGATTCCCGTATTATCTCGACCTATTTACAATACTTCCCGTCCTGTTAACATGACTACCTCAAGCCATAAACAAATAATATTGAAAAGGACTATTATGATTTGTTCACGTGCCCGTCCCCTTACCCCGAATACAAGGTAGATTTTCTCCGGCAGAGAGGGTAACTGGTTGTTGAACAGCGATTCGCCTTTGTCCACCTTATGGTACAGACTGAACATCTGATAGAGTGTCGGGCTCCTCGTAGACATCATCGTCGTGATCATGGTCGTTAGATTAGTTATGGACATTGTCGTCGTCATCGTCGTTGTCGTCAACGTCAGCACAGACGACGTTGACGGAGTTGGATAAGACGACGGAGGCGGCTCCTTCGTCTCGACGTTGGTGTTGCGGTCCATCGCGGCATCTATATTGGCGTGCGGATTGAACTGATCGTTTCGGCCCCTTTGACTTCTTTGTCGTCGGTTCTAACTGTAATGGCTGCTCGCACGCGTATTTGGACAGGCCAATCGCGTCACTACATAATAAAATCTCTTCGTCGTCCCGGAAGGCGTATTTTTTTATCTAAAAAACTTCGTCGAAAAACTATTCGGAGGAACGCTGAGTGTCAATCATCGGTTGATGGCCTATGGGCAATACGTACGATGGACCATGTGGCGTGTACACACGAACGATTATTAATCTTGGTAAACGCAAATGGCGGTCCTGCTCTGACTGCGATGGTGGCCGGGCAGTCTGCCATTGCCACCACTCCATCGGACGGCAAGACCCCGCCTCCCCCCGACACCGTAGAGTCTACGCACGAACCGTTCCACGTTGGCAGCACTGCAGACCGCGTTATCCCGAGTCAACGTTGACAGGAGCCCCCCTCACCGCCATCCATAATCAGTGGTCGGCAAGTTAATGAAAATAATTAACTGTGGCAAGTTAAGTTAATTAAATTAAATTCCCTTCTATTAAGTTAAAAGTTAACAAAGAAAAAGGTGCTTTGCTGTACTGTAGGTTACAAGTGGGTCACTGCATAATGGATGGTATTAAATTTGAATTCAATGATATAATATAATTGTATAAGAAAAACGATTCTGATATAATAGTACAAAAAAATTAACTTTTTATCAAGTTAATGCCCTAAACCTATTCAGTATTATCAAAGTAGGACTTTAGCCACCCCCCCTCCAAATCACAAACGCTATTCTCTATATATTAGTACATTATAACTTGATGATAAAAGTCTAATCAACTATGGATTTAACACATTATACTATAAAAATTTGTTTATTTTAATATGTACAATCAATTTACAATTTTAAAATACTCAAAAATCGCTTTCAAATTAAAATAATATTATATAAGAACACTGATCTTATTTGAATTACAACGAAACAATTCAAATAGTTATTTTTCATAGAAATTTGAACTTGGAATGACAATTAAAATTTTGTGATTGTATCTAAGTGGGAGATATTACTTTGTCACTAATTATCGCCCTATTTTATAACTGTTTGAAAGTATTGTTCATAAAAAAAATTTCCAATATTTAAAAATATTATTCTGCTAGGTCATAAGGACCGCATACTATTATTATTTTTTTATTTAATAACTTCAATTTTACAAAACATTATAAATATATTTGTTTGTCCATAAGGGCAGCACATTATTTTGTACGCATTATTTTATATATTACTAGTTTGGGTCGTTTTAGTTATCATTTATCAATAATAGGTACGACGATTAAATTGATTATTAATTATTATAATACCTAATATACATTTATCGTAATATTTTAACAATAAATAATAATAATAAAACCATACACATTGACGCGGACACGATGATTGCTTCAAGGTTGATCGTGGTCCGGTCGAAGTGTTTGGTTAGGATTGAGGTGATGAAAAAAACACAACACAAACACTTTAAGAATGTCACAAATTATGTATTATAATATTGCGACCAAAATATAATAATATATAATTTGTGACATTCTTAAAGTGTTTGTGTTGTGTTTTTTTCATCACCTCAATCCTAACCAAACACTTCGACCAGACCACGATCAACCTTGAAGCAATCATCGTGTCCACGTCAAATGGCTCCCCGCAGAGGAATTAGTCCGGTCAGCGAAAAGGTAAGAGTTTTTCACTTTGACACATACCTCGGATTATTTGCTTATATCATTTAGTATTGACATATTTAACCAGGAGTGTGTTTTTTCCGGTTAGCTAGGATTTCCAATCTACCCAAGTTAGGATTACGTAATAGGTATTAACCATTAGGTATAACTCTGCTACGTAGGGGAAATCCGCGCGATCTAAAATAACCGTGATACGGAATGGGAAGCAGTTACATAACGTAATGCCACCCTTCCCGGCGCTCACCTTTCGTCCACGACTTTATTGCCGATAACAGCGCAGCGCGCAGGCCGCGACGTCAAAACCAGTCGTCGTCACCGCCGCCGTCGATTCTGTGACCCAGTTTCGCTATATTTGGTACACATCGGCGGCCGTCAACAGATGACCATTGTTTACGTCGGCGTAAATTATTTGATAAAAGTCGTTCAATCCTCGCGTATTCGCGCGTGTACGTACCTAAAGTCTAAACACACCACCGATTTTGGAAGACACTGTGAATAGCGATTGGTATAGGCCACCGTCCGGGGACAACATTGCTAGCTTTAGGTCTATGTAAATATTCACGGACGGCCAGCCGGTACACAACAGTCCAAGCTCCAGTCGACCACAAATCAGGCAGGGACCGCGCACGTATAGAACGACAAACTTTTCAAAGCCGTCGAGGATCAAAAAAAAAAAATAAAAAAAATATCGACGTAATCGTTACACCAATCGACCGAAACGAAAACGTTCGAGTCACGTTGGTTGGCGCTGTAAGCTAGCATGGCGCAGTTCTTCACGGGACAGCCAACAGCGTACAGCATCCACACAATTTTGAGATCCCGTGCTATCAACCACTCGGCACCCGTACACGTTACCACTCGCATACACGATGGTTACCAGTCGGCTAGGTCGTTCGAGTAGGTACAACGTAGTCAGCGCCCAGTCGGGTGTCAGTTACATTGCCATCTTAAATGAACGACCTTTTTCAACGACCACTCTGGTCAAACGGGAAGCGCGTCGCGCTACCCGTCATACGCCGCACGCGCGCAGGTACGATCGGTGTTAATACCGAGTTCTACGCGGAACAAGGGCCGAGCACATGGCAATGACTTTAAATAATAATAATGTACGATATGTTCCTGTATTATTATATTATTATTTAATTTATATGAAAAATATATAAAATATATGAAAAATATAGTGAAATAAAAATGCAAAAAAAGTCAGGTTTCGGGCGGCCGTGTAAACCATATGGCAATGACGGTTTCGACTCCCGGACGGTGTACGACGGATCCGAACCCGGGACCTACGTGTTTCCTACCTAACGCCTAACCAACGACACAATTTGAGATACGGATTTAGGTCAAAACATCAACACTTAAGCCGTGCATCTACGGAGCGACGTAAACCGATATATTCATCGATGTAATCGCATATAATTCGCTTGTAATACGCGCATCTCCCATATATATATATTTAACGGGGCGTGTGAAAAGCGGTGTCCGGGGTGCGCATGTTATTATTATATGCTACCGGCCCGCACAATTTGTGACTAGAACTATTTTGAGTTGATCACCTATTACCATATTATATGGAAAAACGTGTATCCCCCAGTGTAGTTGAAGCAAATATAAGCACAAGAACTTTGAAATCACAACACAGTTTTCGATCAGTGATCTTCATACCACATTCATTTAGACTATATTATTATGTCTTTCGACAAGTTAAAAAGTGACGATTTAGATATTATGGATACTGACTTAAAAATTGTAAGCCTAAGTACATATTTTTTTTTACGAATTTATGTGTGTTTAATATAAAAATATTATATTGGTCAGTTCACAAAATTATTAAAAGATTATTTTAAATCAAAATTATTTGAATGAATTGATTGTGGTCGATACTATAATAATTTTGACTTTAATGAATTATTATATCGAATATTTTATTATTATTTTTTTTATAAATTTCAGTATTCCAAAGACCCCAAATCAAGTACTAGTATGATCGTTAATAAAGTGATGAAAAAGAATACAAAAAATTCCAGAAAACCAAAAATGACAAAAAGCAAGGTGATACACGTCATGATTATAGAAATATTGAAATTATTATGTATTTATAGTTCAAATAAATAAATATTAAATTATTATATAGCTAATTTATTATATAATAATAATTTATAGATCGAATAATTTTTAAACATGTTGGACGATGAATATGTTGAGTCGAGAAATAGTGAGTCAAACTTATTAAGAATAAAGAAACCAAATGGTGGGAATTAGACCATCAAAACACTGATCGTTACTACGTACTTTCCAAGAACAAAATGAAAGATTTTAATGAAGTGTAGGCTAGTGAGAGGTAATTCAACATAAAATATATCGTTAAAATAATTATATTGAATTAAAATAAACGAATGTTTCATATAGAAAACAGTGCATTTTAACTTAAAAATAAAAATTCGACCGTTAAAAAGTACCATTCCCTTTTTAACTGATTTGAAAACATATGTGAGTTGGGGATGGAGACGTTGAATATACATTGAATATTTTTAATATTTATAATTTATATATTTTTAGGATGAGTTTGTTCAACATTACAGATGATTATATTTTAATTTTTTTTTAATTTTATATACTTACTTAATTATTCATTTCTAAACTCGTGTTGGTAAAAAAAGTACTTTAAATACTTTTAATTTTTTGTCAATTTTTTTAATTTTATACTTATACTTTATTATTAACTTCTAAATTTTTATGAAAGTAAAATCAAATATTATATGCTTTTAATGTTTTCAATGATTTTTTGTTTTGTAAAAAATAAATATTATATATTACATGTATTTAATTTTTGTCATTTATTTTGGTTTTCAAAAAATAAATAATATAAATATTTTATTTTATTAATTTTTTTGTCAATTATTTTTATGTTATCATTTTTTAATAATATCTATAGTTTTATTATACATCATTTTTATTTTTGAAAATAAAATGAATATATCAATACCGAATATTTGTTAAAAAAACTATTGATTTAAAAAAATTGAGGAGGGGGGAAATGGTAATGATTATAACTTTCAAATATTGATTATTCATAGTTTTTTTTATTAAGAAACGATTAAAAATATACAAAAAAAAATTAATAAATTAAAAATTAAAAATTAAAAATAGATATACATATACAAAAAAATATGAATAAATAAAAATGGAATACATGATAGAAAATAAATACATCAATAATTGATAAAAAAAAAAAACATTCTTCCTTTTCCAAAAAATACTTCATCAAAAGATGTGGTCATTTTGAATGATGAATCTGTTGTAATTCAAGTACAAAAGCACTGTCTTCTTCATTCAAGTGGTCTAGAATTAATTCGAAATCTCTTATATATGTGATAAGAAAATCATGTCTTATACATGAGGGTTGTAAATATGGAATTTGTGTTTTCAATATTCCGAATGTATTTTCAAGACATTGTTGGAATGAAATAAATTTACTAATTTTTTCTATAAAATTTGCATTAATGCAGTTAAACAATTGTTTTAAACGTAGTAAATTGTCTCGGCTTAATGTAATACGTTTATAATAAACTTGAATATTAACCTATTCTGATTTTGTATTTATTTTATAGTAAAAATGATTATCCAATTTAACTCGTTTTGAACTATGAACTGTTAATATACTATTTAAAATATAATTTAATGTAGGTTCTGACATAAGTATATCCAATTGTGTTTGATTTAATATTACATAATGCTTATTTACATTAGACTCGAAAATTATAACAACAGATAATATTTCGTTTATAAGATATACAGTCAAAATATTTTTTTTATTTTGCGGTTGAATGTTGAAAATGGATTTATTAACAATTGAGTTTATGCCTGTGTAGTATCCCATGTTAATGGATATTCTGATCCATAAAGTATAATAATATAATAATATAATAATATTATTATTAATTTAACTCTTCAATTATCTCTCAAAATCTTTTTGGTTGATGTTTTACCCTATTTGATTGACGTACAGCTTTTTTCTTTGACGACTGGTGCACACATTTTACTTAAACAGGAGACAACTTTTGTTTAATAATAATATGATGAGTATTTTCACATGAATTTAAAGTACAACAATTATAAATTTGATAAATTAAGACAAGGTTAACACTAGTTGGTTTATTTGACATGACTGAAATGAATATAAAAATGTTTTAATTTAAATACTTAGTATTAGTAAACTTTGTAAAAATAAGAGGCTAGCCATTAAAGAAAAGAATTATTTGACCAATTATTTTTGTTTGAATAGTAATATATTTTTTAAAAAAACATGATAAGAAAAATTTGTACTACACATAAGCAGGTATCTGGTCTGCAAAGACAATTTTGATTCAACCATGGACAAACGATGAAATGATTATTTTTTTTCTCTGTTTCACATTTCATAGATTGACTCCTTAATTTTTCTAACTGAGTATAATATTTGGTTATTTAATTTTTGTTGTATCGACGATCCTGACTGGCGGTTGTCACCTGACACACGGTCCTCGGGATTGTAGGGTAGGGCAAATATTCAAGACTAACACAATTTCATATAAAGGGCATAAATGTTTACGTGTATTACTTGTCTACATACACAACAAGGGTTTTACAAAATAACAGTTAATGTACACAAAGTATAGAGGGGGATCACCGACTGGTATGCATCTGCACTGCTGCACTGTGGATTTGAGATGACGGCTGAACTGCTGACTTTCACGAACGACGATGGTACGGAAACAAACTGTTTCGTACTGGTGTTGAACAACGTTGATGAGCGAATGTAAAATGTAGCTAAGCTGCTGGCTTAAACCCGTGTTTAAAGAGCGTGCACCTGAGCGTAGGGTGGTGGGCTGACGACAACAGCCAAACCTCTCGTGGAGCAACGGATAACGAACTATTTTAATAGTTGAACGTAGAACAACGGACTGTGTAGCAACAGTAAAACGACGTAGAACAACGAAGTTCTAAGTATTGCAATGGAACGCGTGTAATGGCCGACGAGCATGAACGGCAACGAGCAGAACACAAAAACGTGGTTTAGAGCGTAAATGGTACAGACGAGCAAGTAGGTACACACACGTAGAGAGCTGGAGCAAGCAACGACAAGAACGGAGTGATGAGACCCCACAGATACGCCGGCGCCGAACCCAGTAACGGCTATCGTGACAGTCTAGCTAACATAGCGTAGCGTATATGATCTTGATTACCATGGTGATGAACACGGCGCGACCACCGACGGCGGCAGCTGTTATCAAACGGATCGAACATACTCCCCCTTGCAAATTCCAGCGAACTTGCAACAGAGACTTCGATCCACCATGATGTAAGTGGCCGAGCAAGTGACCACTTGAACAGAGCAGTTGAGCTGGTGAACGGAGCAGTTGAAAGGAGCAGTTGAATGAGCAGTTGAACGGAGCAGTTGCACAGACCAGAGCGATGATCGGGGCTTAACAAAGGGGCAACATCATTAACAGTCTTTTTTTTCAAGAAATATATAAATTTAATAACACAAGCAATGACTAGAGCAATAGCTGAACTAGCATTACAATATTTAACAATAGGAACAAAAGTTAAGTGATATCACAAACAAAGTCTTTAGTTACATTTTTTTTTTAAATAGTTTACAAATATTAAAACAGCTTAATACCTGAAAATATAACAAAAAGCAAGCAATAAAAATTACCATACCTCACCTGGTTCCCGAGGCAGAACAGCCGACGCAACATCCAGTAGCATGCGTGATGATGGTTGGTAAGACAATGAATTATTTACATAATGAGCGTAGCAATAACATACAAATATAGAGTGCCAATGAATACAAGAAACAGGAACAAGGGTTTATCTCAATTTCTATGGATCTGTGTGGAGAGGTACTATTTTCACAACTGGTCTAGTAAACACCCCCTGTTTGGTACTAACCTTAACTACCCTTACCACCTTATCGGTTCCTGGATACACCTCAACGATTCTACCCAATGGCCACGATAGAGTAGCTGCGTCATTAACCTTGATGACAACCATAGTACTAACTTCGAGGTTGGTATCAGTCTTCGTCCATCTACCATCTAGGGTGTTCAAGTATTCCCGAGACCAACGTCGCCAAAATAACTGGAAAGACTGCTGGAGGAGCATCCAGCGAGTCTGGACTCCCACTTGTGTACTGGTAATAACCGGTTCTGGGATCGACATCGGAGGGCGACCAATCAAAAAGTGACCGAGGGTTAAGCATTAGAAATCATTCGGGTCAGATTATGCTGGGACTAAGGGACGCGAATTCAAGGCAGCCTCTACCGTACACAACAAAGTTATGAACTCTTCCAAAGTCCAAACTCGGGAATTTATTGCACGAACAAGCAATGACTTAGCCGACTTTACAACAGCTTCCCAAATTCCTCCGAAACTTGGAGCACGAGGAGGGTTAAAATGCCATTCGCATGGAATATGACCCGACAGCTGATCCCTACTATCATGTTGATTGACTAACTCTCGCAGCTGCCTCGCCGCACCGACAAAATTGGTGCCACAATCTGAATAGATCGAAGACGGTAGGCCACGACGAGCCACGAATCTATCTAGCGTGAACAAGAAGGCCTCAGTCGAGAGGGAAGAAACTGATTCTAAGTGCACCGCTTTGGTAGTCATACAAACAAAAACAGCAATGTTCACCTAACCTTCACGATACCCGCCTTTCACAGAATGAGTTCCTTCATTTGCAAGGGACCGGCGTAATCTATGCCAACTACTGAAAACGGGTGATCTTCTCGAACCCGAAACCCTGGCAGAGCAGCCATGATGGGCTGTGGATTATCAGCTGACATCTTCGCACATATCACGCATTTGTGAATCACCCGATGAGCTATCAGGCGAATGCCGATGATCCAAAATCGCTGTTGAACCAGCGGTCGAGCGTGACATGCATAGAGATGCCAATGACGGGTAATCAGAACAGCTAAGTGTGAATCTTTTGGAACCAACATAGAATGCTTTCGTCTTTCCAACCAATTGGAATTCTGCATCCGACCACCAACGCGAACTATGCCGTCTGGATCCAAGAACGGTCAAAGACGGGCTATCGCCTTGGACTGAATCGGACTCCCCCGACGCGCGACGCAGACCGCCTACTAGCTGGCTTAATTAGCATTCCTGGGCACTCTTAACAATTACGTGCACAGCCTCATCCAATTCAGACTGTTTCAAAAAACCTAACTCGACCTTTCTCCTTTGACACAACCGGATGAACCGACGTACCTGAGCTACCACCCGAATCATCTGGTGAAATGAGGAAAATCGAATAAACCATTCGACTGGAGGATCTTCATGAGTCAATAAACACACTGGTTTTACTTCCGACAGGTCTTCCAATTCTAAGTGCGGGATATCCTGAGACTAGGCTTCGACTGGTGATTGCAAGAAGGTCGGACCCCGCCAATAGAGCTTGCATCGCTTAAGCTCGTCAGGGAGGAGACCTCGAGACGCATAGTCGGCCGGATTATCCTCTGATCGAACATGTTGCCAGCGGCAATCTAGTACTGCGGACTGAATCTGATATATTTGGTTTGACACAAACGTCTTGAACGATGTATGCGGGACGTTCAACCACGATAAAACGATGAACGAGTCAGACCACGCAAATACATCAGAAATTCCCAACTCGAACTCTCGAATGCGTTTGAGCTTGGCCAACCATGATGCAAGGAGCAATGCACCACTCAACTCCAGTCGTGGTATTGTCATGGTCTTCATTATTGCTAGCTTGGTTTTGGCACAAAGTAGGTATGTGGCCGTAGCTCCGGACGGATCAGTCACGCGGAGATACTCTACAGCTGCATATCTTTTCTCGCAGGCGTCACAAAAACCGCAGAGAATGTAACTACAACCAGTGTAGCAACCGATGTAGCGTGGAATCTGGATGTCCACCAGCTAACAGAGTGAATGGTAGAAGTGGCACCAATCATCCGCGATATCCGATGGGATCCGACTGTCCCAACCAACCTGTGAGAGCCACAGACGTTGCATGATAGTTTTGGCATAAAATATCGTTGGTGACAGCATACCTAGCGGATCAAAGATCCTGGCGATCATAGACAGCACACCTCGCTTTGTGAGAACCAATTTAAAGTTATTGACGGTAAATGAAAAATATTCCAGATCATGATTCCACAACATGCCTAACACATGCGTGGCATTATTTTGTTCAAATGTTAATGGACTTCCAGAACGATCTTCCAGATGCAGATGGTCCAGCAACTCAGGTGAATTACTAGCCCATTTTCTTAGTTGTAGGCCAGATCTGGCAAGAGTCTTGATAAGGTTTGACTGCAGAACTTTAGCAGCTTCCAATGACTCTGCGCCAACACATATGTCATCCATATACAATAATTGGTCATATAACGCTCGCTTCACATCTGGCTGATCTGCACATTCAGTGCAATCCTGGACCTAACGAACTGCTTTTATCATTCCAGACTTGCGGGAAGATGTCAGCGCCGATGAGCATATCGACTGGAGCTGGTTTGTCAAAACTCGGATCTGCTAGAGACAAGTGACTACACCTGGCCCGGACCTGAGCTGGTAATTGCCGAGCTGGCATATCGGTCATGATCGAAGACAGCACCCAAGGTTTGACACTTATTGACGGCGTAGGGCGGTCCCGTGGCTGGATCGTCAGCTGAACAACGCCATGTACATCTGGTACCCTTTGACCAGACAGTCCTGTGATGGGCACTGTCCAACGCGAGGATTTGAGACCCAAACGCTCACAGCAGTTTGATGTTATCGCGCTTATCTGCGAAGCGGAATCGATCAGCGAGCGTATAGTGCGGCATTTCCCCACTGTGTCTTGCACTTGGACCAGGGCTGTCCCTAGTAGGGATTACTACGGGATTACTACAATCCCGTTGGAGATTGTAGCCGACCAAGCATGGCAGCTGGTGGACTGACTGTCTTCGAATCCTAATCACGATGTAGCAATGCATGATGACGGCGCTTACATGTGGCACATGATGACGAACACTTGAAAGACGTATGACCTTCACCGAAGCACAAAAAAAATAAATAATTACCTATAATGTAGAATCAACACTATAATAATTAAATGATGCACAGTTGCCACAGTTTACACAAGAGCTATATAAATAAATGGTAACACAGCACACGACTGACGGACTTTACGTGAAAATTAATATTTAATAATGTTTTCATCGTATTAAGATAAAATAACAATTATATATAATAATATATACTTTTATTCTCTTATAATAAAACCATAAAATCTAAAAATATTTTGATATTATACTGGCATACTACCACTTTACGGGTATTCCATGTGATTACGATAACGATATTCCGCGATAATTTTAGATTTTTCGTTACAATTATTGTAGTATTGTACCAACCATCATTACATGTGTTGACGTATTTCCTGTTATTTATTCGATATTTTATGAAAAATACCCAGTATTCACTAACTACAAACTGTATAATATGACTTTCAACAGTTTACGCAGTACAAAATAATTCAATTCAACGGCCCTATACGAGTTACGAATAAATAAATACCTAATGTACATCATTACATTTAAGTTGTTAAAATAGCTATATTATCGTTATACGTCCTGTAATATTCTAAACTATTAACTATTCTTATACTATTGTATTAGTTACCCAACTACAATAGGTATTATATTATAGTGTATTACGTATAATAATTATTATACTTTACATAGGTACCTATTATATTTCTTATATATCTTTCTAGTTTCTACAGTTAACATCTATCAGGCATCAGCTACTGCCCGCTCGGCAACCACCCACCCACCCATTTCAATATGTAGGGCAGTCGCCCTACATTAATATAGGTCTCGGCGCCCCTGCGTCATCTAGTCACTATTCTCACAAATTATTTTTGTATTGTCTTAAATATCAACTTGAAATTATCTTTATTTCATAAGATAGGGAACATTATATACGATTTTACAGCTGACGATAAAAAATATATAACTGTTAATTTAAAATTACATAACAATGAATTACAACTAATAGTACCATTTTTAAGATAACGTTTTAAATAACTATCTACAAAATATATTGTATTCAACAAAATTATGTAATTTACAATACTTTATTATGTCACTAATCGGAGTGTACATTAATCTATTACTACGTTTATATGATGTTGTTAAAACGCTCGCGCTATGTAGTTTAAGAACTTAAAACCGTTTTATTTGTTTAAACTTGTATATGTACATATTTTGATAAACCGGTTTATGCAAATAAAACAGTTTTAAGTTTTTAAACTACATAGCGCGAGCGTTTTAACGCCATCATATAAACGTAGTATATGATAGACTAAGTTGACAGTTGTGGACGGGTTGCGTACCTATTTCATATTTGTCCTTTTTAATTTTTAAATTAATGTTATTAATACTATTACTTATCTCGATTAAAAATAAAATTATTTTATTTTATTCGCATACATTTCCTGTGAAATATTATTTTGTACCTAGTTTTGACAAATTTAAAACCTTAAAAATACGCCCACTAAAATTATACGCTCGCGGATAAATTCCCGACTTACCCAATCCCCCTAGATTCAGCCCTGGTCCTAGGTAATAAATAGTAGGTTGTTGTTTCTATCAATATGTTTTTATTATCTGTGTTCGAAGTATCCTTATGTAAGTAGTAGGTACCTATATAGCAGAATTTCAAGAAATGTCTACCTAGGTACATAAAATGCACGTCATGTATTCGTGATTCCCGCCTTAGATAACAATCGGTAGAGTTCGGAATCTATTATTATTATTATATGCGACACAGTAATAACTGACAACAGTAATAACACACTAATGTCTAATACACTAATACTACTGATAATTACAATTTAACAAATCACATTAAATAAAATATGACAAAATTAAGGTATAGAGTGATTTAATGAAGCGATAGTCGTTAACGAAATGAAACAAATAACAAATACTGAAATACGTACGTGAAGTCGTGAAATAGCAATAATGAAATGCATCGGGTACACGAAATGGAGTGGGTCAACCGGTCAGCAAGACAACGCGAGATGCAGACGCCGTGATTCCATATTTTATTATAATTTCTCATTAAGAAGTTTGCATGTTTCATTTAATGAGTTAATTTCTACACTGTGAAATTTCAATGATTTTTGCAAAAGTATCGTCTACACAATTTTTCCATTTTATTAGGTACCTATTGATTGATTCAGTAGACAATTAGTTAGGGCCGATTAAAAAAAATGTCAAAATTTACACCGTTTAAATGGGCAACTCCTGCTTCGATATAATACATGAAACAAAAAAACGATTTTTAGTTTAATCAATATAGTTAGTCAATTACTATAACTAACAGTGGTACTGAAATTTGTGTAAGTCGAGGCGCTAGAGCCAAAGAAAGCTAGCCACGTGACGTCACAAGATCACACGGCGCGGCGGCGACCTATTCTTTTACACAGGAATCGCCGACACGGTCTAGATTATTTATTTATAATTTTTGTTATATTCGATTGTATTATAAATATCTTCGTAGTCACAACAATGAACAGTCGTATACAAATACTCTATTTGGTTGATTACTTCTTTATAAAAAATAAGACGTTTTTTTTATGTTGACGAACGTCGAACAACCCATTTTACGTTTATACGTACTTGTAAACCGACGTATTTTTCAACTTAATATTTTCATTTTTGGAATTTTGTTTTACGAGGTAAAGTAATGTATTATAAATTATAATCATTTTTATTTTATTTATTAATAATAATAATTTGTTAATTACATAGGTGCAAAATATTTAATATAAAGTCGAAATAGTTAAGTAAGTACCTACCTATATTATATTGGATTACTTGGATTATATTATAATTCAGGGGTCTCTAAACTTTTTTATTCAAGGGCCACAAAAAAATCAAATGCTCTCAGAGCGCCAAAATTTTATTATCACATATAACTTTTAATTTTATGATAATATAGGTACCTATATAAATAATAAGTTTAC